GAGGGAAGGGTCTTGTTTGGGGACCTCAAAATTGCATCTATATTTGCTGATGATGTGGTTTTGTTGGCTTCATCAGACTGTGACCTCTAGCAGGCACTGGGGTGCTTTGTAGCTGAGTGTGAAGTGAGGTGAAGAAAAGATATGAGGGGCCCATAGTCTGCAAACACAGTGAACTGAAAATAGGAGGGAGTCAGGCTGTTGTTCCTCTTCATGTCTGCACAGCAGCACAGCTGCAACAGGACAAGTCAGAGTGATGGAGGGAGAAGAGTTAAAGGTTGAAATGAGAACAGAACAGATGGTTAATAGGGATTAAAACTTCTGAATTAAGAAGCTTGCTTTAGTATTGAAAAACATAAAACTACATGCATATAAATATATTTCTAATTAAGGTGCCAAGCATAATTCAATATAATGAATGTGAGTCAATATAATGTGAAAGTCAGAGAGAATGACTAGAGACTAAAAATGTTAATTAAATAGCTTTGTCAATATTTATAATGTAAACCTCTATGCATGTACATATTTATCTAACTTCAATATAACTGGCACATTTCTTACAATTCATAAAGATGTGTTAAAAATATGTACAGATAGAAAAAGTGTCACATATTATAATATGTTACTACAGTAGTGGAGAAGTCAGGAGAAAAGCTGCACAGACCGGTATTCCTCACCTGCTGGTTTTAATCAACTATTTTTATTTGTTAATATATGGTCATATTACAGCTCGAATTGAGTCATATATTCCAGACACTGTATATGTAGTAATGATTTTATAAATAGCTTTGTACAATCCTCTTTTTAACCCAGTTATATAAGAACTGAAAATGAAAGAAATTCATAAACATCTCAGCAGGTTATTATATCTATGTAAAATGAACTGATGCTCTCTACACTGATAACCTGTTATTTAAGAAATGTCTTATCCCTGTTAAGTTTTGTTATGATTCCTGATCCACAGTAAAGTCACTGTCATCTTGAAAAATCTAATGCCTGGTCAGTTTTCTACCAAAACTCTA